AAAACAATAAAAAAAATTTCCTTCATTATTCAGTTCAGTGTGCATTGTGAATAATTTATTGTGTTTTGAGAGTGCAAAGTGCTATTATTGTTTTTCAAGGGTCCAAAGTGCCAAAAGGCTCAATTTCAAGGGTGCAAAGTGGAATTAAGCCGCTAATATACTAATGTTGATCGTAATTCCAATTCTACTGCTAATGCTTATGCTAATCATAAGCATAATCCTAATGTTGATGCTAATCTAAATATGCTAATGCTAATGATAATGTTAATGCTAATACTAATATTAATTCTAATACTAATCTTAATTTTAATGTTAATTCTAATTCTAATCATAATCCAAATACTAATGCTAATATTAATCCTAATCGTAATCCTAATGTTGTTGCTAATTCTAATTCTAATACTAATCATAATCTTAATCCTAATACTAATCTTAATCCATATAGGAATACTAATACTAATATGAATTCTAATTTTAATCCTAATTATAATTCTATTACTAATACTAATCCTAATTCCAGTATTAATCCTAATATACTAATAATTATCCTAATATGCTAATGTTGATCATAATATATTTATGTTAGTATTCTAATATTAATCGTAATCCTATTACTAATCCTAATTTTCATATTAATAGTAATATACTAATGCTAATGATAATACTAATGTTAATCATAATCTTAATCCTAATGCAAATCCTTATTATTATCAAAACCGTAATTCTAATCCTAATGCTAGTGTTAAGTATAATATTAAAACTTAATTCTAATCATATAAAAATATTAATTATACTACTACTATCAATACTAACACTAACACTAACACGTAATACTAACAGTAGCACTAACACTAACACATATATTTGTACTAATACTAAAAATACTAATACTAATACTAATTATACTATTATTTATACTAATATCAATATAATACTTATATTAATACTAAAACTAATACTAATACTGATACTGATACTAATATTAATCCTAATATTGATAATAATTCTTTAATAGTAATACTTATACTAATATTATTATCATTACAGTATTACTATTGCGCATACCATTACTAATATTATAACTCATATTAATATTAATTCTAATCCTAATACTAATTGTAATGACGACTCTATTCATAATCCTGATCATAATACTAATACAAATACAAATAGGAATACTAATGGTAATACTAACATAATTATAATACTAAAACTAATATTAATACTAATCACAATTCCAATCTTAATCATGATATTAATATTAATTTTGATCATAATCTTAATACTAATCCCAATCATACTAATAATAATACTTATACTTATACTCATACTCATACTTATACTAATACTCATACTCATAATACTCATACTAATACTAATACTAATATTAATATTAATATTAATACCAATACCAGTACCAATACCAATACCAATATCATTATCAAACCAACAACAATATTTTGAATAATTATTGTTTGATCAACCAAATCAACACCATGAAATACGAAACGAAAAATATTCAAAACAAAGGAATTTGGCATATAAATAAATTTGCCACAAATAAATAATGGGGTTTTTTCATATCGAAAAAAATAATAAATAAATTGCTTCGCATGTATCGCTGATTGTACACAAACTAAAATATGAGAAAGAAAAAAAATTAAAAAGAAGACACATGGTATGAAATTGGTACACAAAAAATTGAAACGAAATTGTAAACATAACCGAAAGTACACATATTTTTGGGTAGTAAACATTTGATTGCCAATACATAAGTTGTCCGTCTTGATCATATCTACAAAAACATATACAATTAAAAAAATTGTTATATATGACTGCAAATATAAAAATTTAGTCAACTATTTTGAAACAAAAAACCCAATCTTTTAACCCTTAACAAATCATTTAAAACAAAATCTTAACAAAGTTTACATTTATTTGTTTAATTCATTTCCATTGTTTAACAAAGTAAGATATATGTAAACCGGTGATGCTATTAGAATGTATAGTTCGAAATACTATTAAAATTTGACAAACTTTTATAAGGATTAAAAAAATGGATAAAAAAATAAGGATTAAAAAAGCTACTTATATTTGACTAAACATATTTTTTGTTGTGATTCAAAATAAATATAAATATTACCATAATAATGTAAACAAAATCTTTGTTTTTTATGACAATTGCTATCAAAATTTCTATGAATTATGTAGCATATTAGTATAACGATAATTTGCATTAATACCAATTTATTAGCTTTCATGAAATACCTTATGACCAAGAAGTATGTCATTATTCTAGTTTGCATCATTATAAATGGTGATACACATTTTATACATTCAATGGCAAATAGTGAATAGTATAATTATTGTATTATATAAAAAATAAGTCACATTATTATATAATAGCAAACATTCGATATAAAAACAGTTATAAAATAGCGAAAATATTGGAAATTACTAATTACTATATCTTGTTAATATCTATATTATAACAGCAAAAAGTCAAATTATTATAAAGAAAAAACAAAAAAAAAAGGGCAATATGGCATTGAAAAATATAATATTTATCTACCGGAAAAGAATTTATTATGTAATGATTTTAAATCAATCTCGTTTCTATGAATGTTGACTAATATATTTCCTAAATTTTATATTAAAATTTTTAGCAATAAATATGTATGAAGTTTTTTTTAATTTAGTGTGTGTGTGAGTCAAAAATAAATTCTTAAAAAATAGTATGTATTGATTTTAAAAGAATCTCATTTTACAAAATTTTGTAACGTAGAAATATACTACTATTTTTTTAATGTACGTGTATATATATATATATATATATATATATATATATATATATATATATATATATATATATATATATATATATATATATATAATTTTCTTCAGCTTTAAATTTGAGCACGACATATTTCATAAAACAATGGACAAAAATTATCAATTTAATTATAATAATCAAGAGCAAGATTAAAACATAAAATAAATTATAAATTAGAATGTCCTAACACTATTAAACTCCCAACATTAAACAAATTTCATCAAAAGAAAATTCTAACAAAAATTTAAATGAAACAAAAAAAAAATATTTAAGGAGTAAATCTTCTTCTTGACTTGCACAATGCACTTCAATGACGTTTTTGTTGGGATAAACAAAAATTTCGTGATTCTTCCACGAATAAATCTCAAAGAAATCTTTTTTTTTTTTGCCAATGTATCCAGCAACATCTCCAAATTGCTTGGATATGTTCTACACGGAAATTGATCAATTAACAACATATTATTAATTATACATTAGTTATAGAAAATATAACAAAACAAAATATGAATATAACCTTTGATTTTTGAACTTTCAAGATGTAGTCGCACTTTTTGCAAATTCATAGAACTTTTCCATATCCGATATCAGTCGCGTAAAATACATGACTTAACAACGTCCATATCTATAGATCATTACAAAAATGTTAGAGATATATACTTATGTAAAAATAACAAATAATATAATGCAAAGTTAATTTGGAGCAAATAATTATCATGTGCATCGAAACAAATAAATCATAATGATATATTTTGTCGAGTAAAAAAATGTACACCGAATTATGAATTTCAATATAATTATCAGAAGAAAAAAACAGAAAAACTAAAAAGAGAAACCAAGAATAAAAAAATACTCCCTCCCCCCTCTCTCTCTCTCTCTCTAACTGGATTTTTTTTGTGGTGATGAATTTTGTGGTATGAGATTTTATAGTTGTATTTATGCGATAAAAATGTAAATAATATGTAAAAAACGGAAATAATTAATTAACATTAAAACAAAGATTTTCAAGATTGAATTTTTGAATTTGAATTTTAAAATAAATTAAAGTACATGTTTAAATAAGGAAAACCCAAAACCAATATAATTAATGATATGCTTCAATTTTGCTAAATCACACACACACACACACACACACACACACACACACACACACACACACACACACACACACACACACACACACATATATATATATATATATATATATATATATATATATATATATATATATATATATATATATATATATATATATATATATATATATATATATATATATAACTAATTATGATATCTAGAAATAAATTAACATCGTTTCTATAATTATAGAAATTATATATATTGTAATTGGTATTAATTGACACTCTTGTATAAGATATTATGAAATATGGAAAAGATATAAATTAAATTAATACACAAAATAATAATATCGTATATTAAATTGGTAAGTTTTAATTAATATGCATCTATTATCGGTAATTGCATTAAATAATTAATTAATGTGTGTATATTAATATTGTGATTATAATGGAACAAAAAATGCCACATGAGATATGAGGTGGATGTCACATTGATATGTCACATGTCAATTTCTTAAGCTATGAGGGTTTCAATTTATATATTATATAGATATATTTATTGTTTATAAAAAAAGAAACTCATTAACCAATAAAAATACACTATTTTGACATGTAGGAGAGATAAAATTTGAAACAAAAAATGTGAAATTATTTCATTAATAATATGGGTGATTCTTGTAAGTGGGTTATTTTTGCAATTAATATAATATTGTGCATAAAATTTACTAAATTGTGAAATTATAAAAATTGCAATTAAGTCCTACGTTTTTTAAATCAAAATATTGTTTATAAAAAAAACTCATGAACCAATAAAAAGACATTATTTTGACATGTAGGAGATATAAAATTTTAAAATCAATAATGTCAAATTAATTAATTAATAATATAGATGATTATGATAATTGGGTTTTTTTTGCAATTAATATAATATTGTGTATAAAATTTAATGAACCCAAAAAAAGAATTAACGTATTTATTATGAAAAAATGGATTAAAAAAGGAAACAAAATAACCAATAAAAAGACACTATTTTGACATGTAGGAGAGATAAAATTTAAAAATTAATTATGTGAAATCAATTATATAATAATATGGTGATTATGGTAAGTGGGGTTATTTTGAAATTAATAATAAAATGTGGACTCAATCTCCTCAATTAGAAAACTTTGATTGTGTATCTTAGTTTTATATATAATATAGATTAACGGAAAATGTTGTTTGTAAAATTAATGATTTTCCGATTTCGAAATATGCTATTAAGATTACTAACTTATTACTCTCAGCCATGGTACCTTTGTAAAATTGAGAACATGCATGAATTCTATTTGATTTTGTATCGATATTATTGTTTGTTCAATTTCCAGGTGAAGTTTCTCACAGCTGGTGGGAAGAAATTGAAGCTGACAATCTGGGACACGGGTAATTAAGAAGTTTTGAATAGTCTTGGCTTTGACGAATCGTCTTGAAACCTAATCGATTTTGTTGGATTATTTTTTCAGCTACCTTTCTGTTAGAATCCGAGAGGATTCTAATTTTGGTTTTTCAGCACGTGTGTGAAAAAACGTGTGTCTAAAGCTAGGGAAGTTTCCTTAATACTTTAAACTCTTATTTTGTCATTAATTTATTTAATTGCATAAGTGATGTGTTTTTTTTTTATAGGAGCATAAGTGATGTGTTAACAAGGAATTTCCTTGACAAAGACTTTCCTAGTTACACAATTCTTATTCCCTTACGTAAAGATTGAATATTAACCTAATGGGCTTTAATTTTTTGTAGGGCTCTTTTATTCAACATAGAATATATATAGCAGCACAGCACTGCGTTTCATTGTGCGTTTTTTTCGAGAGAAGCCGATCTCTCTCTTATTGGTTGTCGTTGCAAGCTTTTTGTTGGAGAAGAAAAATTATATTTTTCTGCTCTTATTTTTGCTGCTCCCGGAACGTCTTTTTTATCAAGAGAAGATTTCAGAGAAATATTTTTTTTTCCTCTCGTTTTTATTGCTCCATCGTGATACGTGATTTTCATAGAAAATATAAACAGATCTCGGGAGGAGATCGATCCGCCGACTGAGGGATTCAGCGTTGAAGGGAGTTCAACCGTGCGGAGCAAGGGACGTGCTGCAAATTGAAGATTTGTAATTCAGCGTAGTATACAAGAACGGTGTCAACAAAGAGGGAGTCTTTGTATTTTGATTAAGTCCTATTATTGTATTCGTAAAACTAAAAATTAGTAAATTTTATTTGCAGGTCCCCGTGGATGTAGGGTCGTTTATTTCTGCTTTTACGAACTGTTTCACGAACTGTTGCAACACTTTACGCAACAGTAACGAAAAACTAAATCTGACACAAATAATTTAATATCTGCACGAAATAAATTCTAACACTTTCAATTGTTATCACATAGAGAAATCAAATGATAAGAAAAGAGATAGATAAATTTTATAGACATTCAGTGACGATAAATATTTTCTCGATGGCTCTTGTTTTCAATAGGTTAATTTTTTGGACGGCTCGATGGCTCTTGTTTTCAATAGGTTAATTTTTTGGACGGCTTGTAGATCGTGTTTGATTGTGCTTAATGACCTCTTAATGACCACTTAATGACTATTAACATCTTATTCGGTAAGACATTATATTTTCAGCGTGTTTGATAGTGACGTCTTAATGGAACCATTCACTTCTGACCGGTTCAGTCAAAAAATCATAACTTATTGGTTCAATGGTATAAAATTTTGTCCCTCCCTTTATAGTTCTCTGTCTTCGTTCTTGTCGCATTGAGAATCAAATTAGTCCTTTCATAATTATTTTTAAATAGGAATTGTCCTTTTACTGTTGGAAGAGTGGAATCCAAATTTTCTTTTATGGTATTTATCTATTTATTCGATATTACTAGTGAAAAGAATATGATCAAATAATTATAAAGGTCACGAATTTTTCATTTATATATTATTAATAGTTATAATATATTAATATATATATATATATATATATATGGGTGTTAATTCGGTAAAATTGTATCGAACCATACCGGAATTTCGGTGCCGAAATTTTGTACCATAATTAATTTGGTTTTTTCGGTTCGATACGGGTAAACGTAAAAATATATTTTCTTATTTTAAAAAAAAATTAAAAATGAATATTAAAACTAATTAATTCTTGAATTTGACATTCAAATTACAACAATCGACCCTAAAAATAAAATAAAAAGTGATTTCAATGGAGGCTAATTTGGAAATAATGAAAAAAAATATCAAATTTAAAAGTATTTATAATTTGTTATAACCTTAATGGATTTAAAATAAAAGGAAAAACATATTAAATATTTTAGTATTCGGTACGATACGGTAGACCGTGCATCAATATTGTATATCGTACCAAATACCATAATTAAAAAAAATGGTTATGGAAAACTAAGCATAATTTTCGGTTCATTATTGGGCGCGTACCGAATTTTCTATCGGTTTACCGACAGAGTGAACACTCTTAAACATATGTCCACAATTTTTAGGGCTAATATAGTAAAATTATACGATTCAGATATAATAAATTTATAGTTATCGAACAAACTTAATCATTCTGCATTCAGTATTCAGACATTATGCTTAACAATTCAGTTGTTTATTTAGCATTCAGTGTTCAGTGCTTAATTGTATCAAACGGAGCCGTAGTCTATGATGTAACGGGCTCGCGAGTTTGATTTGCTGGCTCGAGAAAAGCTAAAGATAATATTTAAAAATCGATTACGCAAATGGACTAATGTATATATGTAATCCCTTTGGTTGCTCTGATGGGATTGATTAGCCGGGATAACATGTAGGATAAGACTACGGGTAGGAATTGGAATAGAATTTCTGATTTGAATTTTTTTCAATTTTGGAACAACATTTTGCATTTCGAATTCAGATTTTTCCGATTTTTTTTTTTTTTTTGGTTTGGAATTCGAAAATATATGAGATCTCGATTTCCGGAAATATTCCGATGTTTTTTTCGATAATTACACTTATAATATGAATATTACTATGCATTTTACATTTGAAGTGACTAAAAAATTGAAATTTTTCCATATGCTGCCAATTTCGATCGAAATTTTCCAATTTTAGAACACGTTTTTAATTCCAATTTCCGAATTTTTGATTTTTATCGACCTTTTTTGGAACGGAATTGGAATTATATTTTAATCATGGTATACATATATAACTGTTTGAATGCAGTTTTTGTCTGGAGGGCTAATCCGAAGTGGAAGCAACCCTAAACTTGAACGCAATGAACCAATGCCCGAACCCGTGGCACGTGTCGTTCACGTACGCGCGGGCCCTACAGAACACTTGCCTAAGACGTGGGGCGGAAGACCGGAGAACATGAAGGCGGCACAGGACGCTTTGCTCTTGAGAGCGAGCGCCAACTCGCTCGCGCAGCTCGGCAAATACACCGGTGAGGGAGAGTCCGAGGAGGCCAAAAAAGGAATGTTTGTTAAGGGCTACAGTTACTAATTAATTAATTATGTTTGTATTTATTGAAATTGGTACAATAATTGTTGGTTTTTATTATCGTAGCTTATGATGTGTAATGAAGATGAAATTAAGGAGCTTCTATATGCTTATTATAGACCTTGTAGAATATTTTTATTTAGTATTTTACTTTATTTTGCACCAAAAGGCGAATCCCTCGCCCCCAGGGCCCCCATCCCTTGGCCCGACAAGGATTGATGAGGATATAAATCATGGTAATTCAACGGCCCGTTAAGGTAGCGGACCCGAACCTAGTGCCCACAAGGAACCAACCCTCATTTGGAGTTGAAATTCCCACACTGCGGCTGCCAGGATTCGATCATAGGACCTTGCACCAACTTACCACCTCCGGAACCAGTTGAGCTACACCCATGCGGGCAGTATCTTACTTTATTGTCTATATTTTAGTTTGATGGAGTGTCAGCTTCACCATCTGCGTATAACAAATACGGAAAAATTATCGTTTTCATCCCTTAAGTTTTCAAGGTTACACATTTGGTCCTCCATGTTTATAAAAAAACACATTTAACCCCTCATGTTTCAAAAGGCAAAATGAGTTTTTTAGTCCTGTAAGTTTGCTAGTTGAGAGTTTTAGTCCACCATCTTTCAAAATCAGAATTTTAGTTATGTAAGTTACAAAAGTTGAGAATTTTGGTCCTATGACCTGCTATAATATGTAATGTGATGGTTGGTTGAATGAGTTGGCATTTAAAATATAAAAGTAAATAGATTAAAAATAAATTAGGTGATGTGGCTAATGAGTTGGACAATTTTAGAGGGAAATAAAATATACCATCAAATTATTTTTTTATTTGATGAATGAAATAAGCATTTTCGTAGTACCTATTTTTTTAATTAATATTTCATAGTTTTCAATTGATAAAAATAGTAATTAACTATATTTTATTACTCGTTATGGAATTTGTTACTCTTGGTTTGATAATGTATTTTATGTTTGGAGGCTCTAGAATACTTTTTTGGTACATTTAATGTAATAGAGTTTTGAATATATTTTATTATTTTTTGGTTAATTCGTAAATGTATATTTGATTTCTTATACTAATTATGATTGTGCATGTTATTTAACTTTACAAGAAGGTTTAATAAAAGATGTTTTTTTGGATTATATGTTGAATTTGATTGTTGGTTCATTTCATTGTAATCACTAAGTATAGATTTGTAAAAAATGAAATATTTTGTTTTTAGAACAAAAAAAAAAATGAAATATTTAGATAAATATAAATTTAATTACTATTTTTATCAAATAAAAACTAAAAAAAATAATTAAACATTAGTTAGTCTTATTTCCTTCATCAAAATATAGTTGGATTTTATTCAATGGGTTTATTGTGGTTTTTTATTGCATATATAACAAAAAAATTAAATATATACGTTAATAATTAATATGTTAAAAATTGGTCATTATGTGGGTGAATTTGACATTGAAGATCATTTTTTTCTCCAAAAACATCTAACTCATTAGCCACATCACCTAATTTATTTTTAATCTATTTATTTTTAAATTTTAAATGTCAACTCATTTAACCAATCATCACATTACTTGTTATAGCAGGTTATAGGACCAAAATTCTCAACTTTTGTAACTTACAGGACTAAAATTCTGAATTTAAAATATGGTGGACTAAAACTCTCAACTAGCAAACTTACAGGACTAAAAAACTCATTTTTCCTGTTTCAAAAATTTAATATTTTGATCATTTTCGTCAATTTACCGTTAGTCCGTCAGTTAAGTCAGTGATAAGCACTCACTTGATTATGTTAGTACTAACGGAAAATTCGCGAAAAATGACTAAAAGTGTTGAATTTTTTAAACATGAGGGACCAAATATGTTTTTTTATGAACATGGAGGACCAAATGTATAATCCATGCAAACTTGAGGGATGAAAACAGTAATTTTCCCTTCGATTTCATGGGTGACAAAATTCGTAAGACAAACTCGAGCTCGAGCTTCATTTCAGTTGTTCGACAGCCCGCGAGCCGGCTCACGAGCTTTACCTTTTTTTATATTTTTTAATACATATTAATAATATATAATAATGGATATTATTAATAACAAATAAAAAGAATAATATTACTTTTCTAATTGAATGAAAATTTGGTTGTGCCGAGCTCGAGCTCGAGCTCCTTAGAAATACAACGAGCTCGAGCTCGAGCTGAAAATTATAGGCTCGTCGAGCTCGAGCCTTGTCTAGTTGTAGCTCGCTCGCAAAATAAGGCGAGTTCGGCTCGTTTATACCCCAAGTTTAAAGTAGTAATATTATGTTGTGTTTTATATCACAAAAAAATGGTATAGGGATTATTTGATATAACCCCCATATGTTTTTTGCATTTAGTATAGACAATATTCCTCTTTTTGAGATAGATCCAAATTATAACAGTTTTTATTTACCATAATTAATTTTATATTGTCCCTATGTATATATGGACGATATGTTTTTTTGTTTAGAAAATATCTATATTTTCAATTAATGAATCTTTCCGTTTTTATTGCGCACGTTCTCACGTTTGAAATAATATTTATCTCCTAGCTCGTCCCTTCTTTTATGGGGACACCGTTTCACAGAGATTTATCAAATTTCATAAAACCTTCGTCGACTTAATACATAGTGGTTTTAAAAAAAAAAAAATCGTCTACATGGTGAATATCGACATAGATTGTACGGTGTAGTATTCAAAGATTTCATCTGCCTTCAGACTCGCGCGATCCCACAAAAACACTATTCCGTCAGCATTCAATATCGGTTCTCTATATCGGTTCTCTAACAACATACTTGTTTCCCCATATTAACAAGGCAAAAGAAACCAAGATCGCACACTTCAACGAACAATACCAAAAAGGCAAAATCGCACAAGGAAATAAAAGAAGAAATATTAAAAACAAACCTAAGGTGGGGATGGCATGAACCACGTCGGCGTCGGTACAATTTTTCGTTTCAAGTTTCGGAGGTCACGAGGATAGTAGCACGAAGAGAAAGTCCGGGGGGCAATTTTTTTTCTAGGCCATGTTGGCCAACTTTTTTAAAAAAATAGGACATTTTTTTGATGTATTTCAGAAATAGAATAGCGCGTCATTACAAATTACGCCTTTTAAGAAGACGCCATGTGTCCAATAGATCTACGGTGCTTAAAAGACGTCATTTTAAATAACGTGTTTTAAGATGACGCCACGTGTCCAACTCTTTTCAGCTCTATTTTCATTATTTAATTATTTTTTTATATCTAAAAATAATAGAAAATATAATTAACTTATCTTTATTGCAAATTAGAAAATTTGAAAATCAATTACAAATTTCAATAGTTATTACATTTTACAATGATTATCTTGTAAAACATAACAACATAATATTATTGATAAATATTTGATAGTTATTATTTATAAAAAAAAAAAAAAAAACTAATGATTTTATAATTTAACTAATATTATAGTTACTATTTTTTTCTTTTGCAGTTTTTGTTTAAAACCACATTTTGATATTTTGTTTTCTTTATTTATTCGATGTTTTATTACCCTGTTTATCTTATTTGTACGTATTTTTAAATTATAAGAATTACTATTTTGTGAAAAGAAAAGGACAAAAAGAAAATTCTAACTTGTATGAATATTAAGGGTGTGTCAATAAGTTGAGCCACCTCGTGAGTTCGATAAGCCGGCTTGAAAAAAGTTTGTTTGTGATGTCATTATTGTATTTATTTATGATGTTGTTTAATTATACTTTTTAATATTTTAGATTTTTTCTTTTTTTGATAATTTAATATTTTAGTTATTCAAACCAAAATAAATTAAATAAACAAAAAAAATGGGCAAAAAGAAACGCTTTCTAAATAATTAATTTTTTTAGTATTTTTATTTATTCATAACAAATTAAATATAAAAATTATTCTAAATAAAATTCGATTGAAAAATTAATTAAAAATAAAGAAAATAGAGCTGAAAAGTTAATTAAATTGATTTTAAGACTTTCTAATTTGCAAGAAAGATAAGTTAATTAAATTTACTATTATTTTTAGATGTAAAATACCAATTAAATAAAGAAAATAGAGCTCAAAAGAGCTGGACACATGGCGCCATCTTAAAACGCGTCATTTGAAATGACTCCTTTTAAGCACCGTAGATCTATTGGACACGTGTTCTCAAATAGGCTAGAAAAGTGTCCTATTTTTTAAAAAAATTGGCCAAAATGGCCTAGAAAAAAAAGTGCCCCGAAAGTCTGGTCTTGGTAATTAAAGACGCCTATATCATGGCCACCGTGCGTCACCGTATCTACATCCCTAGGTAGTGGAGTCAGTTCCTTCGTGTCCGTGAAATAGATCGAATTGGGCTTCACATTATTATTATCCATCGTTATCATTTCTTCATCGTCGCCATCCCCGAGTACTAAGCCATGGCCCGTCGAACCAATAAAAAACGCCATACCATCCAACGTATATATTATCCATCGACCTCAGATCGCCTCCTTTCTCGTCAGCGTCAACAATTAATTCATAAACCATGAAACCCGTAGTCTGGTACGGACCGATAATAGTGCCATCCATTACATGACGATGCACGACAAAGAGACAATCGATTTTCTCGGCAAACACAAGGTAAGTCCAAGTACGGTGAGAGGTTTCGTTGTCGGCTAATCTCCAAATCAATTTAGGAGAGAGAGAGGGTTGTCGAGATCCCAACACTCAAAGTTGTCGCACCTCGGAACGCAGAGCCGTTTGTTTCGAGCGAGGGAATACACAAAGTCCTTGTAAATCCTGGGAAACCAACAGTGACTCGAGACTCTCGAGACTTCCTCGGTGATTGCCTCGTGCTCGTTAAAGAAAGTCCACTGCTTGCTGTGCTCGTGGCGGCAGCACGCCAGCCTGTCGCGTGGACCAAAAGACATAATCCCCCTGCAATCTCCCTCGTCGTCTTGTTGAGGAGAGCATGAGAGGATGACCTTTGTGGGTCGGTGGTTCGGTATGTCTTTTT